AATATAAATATAAATATAAATATAAATATAAATATAAATATAAACATAAACATAAACATAAATATAAATACAAATATAAAAACTTTTTCTGCGATAGCAGCAGCTTGTTTGCCGAAGACAGCTAAAACCCTAAACCCTAAACCCTAAACCCTAAACCCTAGACACTAATATGATAGATATAAAGATAAAACTAAAACCACAAACACAAATATAAATATAAAACTAAAACCACAAACATAAATATAAATATAAATTACATTTCTTGACTTTTTCTGCGATAACATCAGCAGCTTGTTTGCCGAAGACAACTCAAACCCTAAACCCTAAACCCTAAACCCTAGACACTAATATGATAGATATAAAGATAAAACTAAAACCACAAACAATACATATAAATATAAAACTAAAACCACAAATGTATAAGTAAATAAATACAAATATAAATTACATTTCTTGACTTTTTCTGCGATAACATCAGCAGCTTGTTTGCCGAAGACAACGAGGTCTAGGAGAGAGTTGGCCCCCAGTCTGTTGGCCCCATGAACAGAGGCAGAGGCAGCTTCTCCTGCTGCATATAAACCCTCAAGAACTTTTTCTTTTGCTGCACACACAAACCCTAAACCCTAAACCCTAATTAACCCTTGTAAACCCTAGTAAACCCTCATTCATAAGAAAAACATAAACCCCAAAAAACCCTAAAAAAATATTTTAAAATGATAGAGCAGATAACACGAAAACCCTAAACCCTAAACCCTAAACCCTAAACCCTAGAAATACTCAATCCTCTTTCTTTCACAGCAAAATATACTCTGAACCCTCATCCCCTACAAAACCCCAAACCCTAAACCCTAAACCCTAAACCCTAAACCCTCGAAATACCTATGCGGCCGTCTCCTTTGACGCAGTGCAGAACCTCCGCCCGCCAGTTGGTAGGGATCCCCCCCATGTTGTAGTGTACAGTAGGCAGCACGGGTATTGGTTGTTTTGTTACATCTACCCCTGAAAAAATAAAAAAAAATTAGGGTTTAGCGGCTAGGGTTTAGGGTTTAGGGGCTAGGGTGTAGGGTTTACGGGGACAGAGGGAAGGGAGAGAGAAAGAGGGAGAAAGAGGTTTTTTTTCCGCTCGTTTTGAGGGTTTTTAGGGTTTAGGGTTTAGGGTTTTAGGGTTTAGGGTTTAGGATTAGGGTTTAGGGTTTAGGGTTTTGTTGGTGGGGTTACAAAGGAGACAATAAAAAAGGAGACACCAAAACAACAAAAGGAGACAAAAGAAATGCAGAATAAATAAAGAGACAGAATAAATAAAAAGGAGACAGAATAAATAAAAAGGAGACAAAATAAATAAAAAGGAGACATAATAAATAAAAAGGAGACAAAATAAATAAAAAGGAGAAAAAACAAACCAAAAGGAGACAGAAAAAAAGAAAAATAAAAATAAAAATAGAAAACAAAAGGAGACAGAAAAAACAAAAGGAGACAGTATATTCACCCGCGAAAGTTTTTGCTGTCTCCGTGATGCCTGGGAGCCCAAAAAGGAGACAGAACAAATGCACCAAAAAAAATAAAAAAAAGAGACAAAGTAAACACCAAGGAGACAGAATAGAAACAAAATAAAAATAAAAACAAAATAAAAAATAAATAAAAACAAAAGGAGACAGGAGACAGGAGACAAACCTGCGAATATGAAGCACAGCAAAAAAAGAAAAAAAAAAAATAAATAAAAGGAGACAAAGTAGAGAAAAAAGAGACAAACAAACACCAAGAAGACAGAACAAAAACAAAACAAAAAAACAAAATAAAAAATAAAAAAGGAGACAGGAGACAAACCCGCGAAAATTTTAGCTGTCTCCGTGATGCCTGGGAGCCCAAAAAGGAGACAGAAGAAATACACCAAAAAACGAAAAAACAAAATAAAAAAAAGAGACAAAGTAGAGAAAAAAGAGACAAACAAACAAGGAGGAGACAGAACAAAACCAGAACAAAAACAAAATAAAAATAAAAAAACAAAAGGAGACAAACCCGCGAAAATTTTTGCTGTCTCCGTGATGCCTGGGAGCCGAGTGTGAAGTGTCTCCGGGGGCAGATGAGTCAAATCCAGGTGGCAGTGGTCCCGCCGCGGCCCGCAGCCTCGCCCTGCTCACAAACCCTAAACCCTAAACCCTAAACCCTAAACCCTAAACCCTAAACCCTTAACAGTAAACCCTTGACAGTAGACTGTAAACTGTAAACAATGAACAGTAGAAAATAAAACAGAAAAAGAGAAACGGAGACAGATTATATATATATATATATA